GCCGTTTGACGTCAACCATGAAAATCTTTATGTTATCTTGGTATAATTTTGTTTTGCAAACCTAATTGCACTCAATTTATTGTTTCATTTAACTATTTGAGTATTTTGTGTCCAGCCAATTATGTACACAATCATGAGTAAGATCTCAGCATTTGTCCTAGTTCTGCAAAAGAGAAGATCATGAGGACTCTACTTTTCAAATTTCCAATTTTTTTTATCTTTCTTCAGACCTGAGAATCAGAATCTAGCCGATTCGGGCCCAAATTCTGATTTTTTAAAGCACTGCTTTCATGTGTTATTGAGAGGGCCCAATAAAATTTACAAAAGACTACCAATCAATCTGAAGTGGCATTGCCCTCCCAATCCAAATGGTTTGCATACTGTGCAGAAATTGCTTTTACTCTTGGTAATTAAAATTGTTATTATTGTTGTGACTGCATTAACCTCACCCCAAAAATAAGGGGAAAACATAGCCAAAATATGGATAGGAGCAATGTACTACAAAGAAATACAAGAAGCCAAATATTTATGAACACAACAAAATTACATGCTCATAAGGGATTTTGGTGGCATGGCAACTTCTGTAATCCCTTCAAGCATTTGAACAACCATCTTCATGAAAGGTCTCACAGATGGGTCTTCTTGAATACACCATAAACCCACCTTAACCATCCTCTCAAACATTTGTAGATCTCCCAAGGCTTCTGTCTTCCTTTACCAGCACATGAATCTTCTCTTTATGAAAGCAATCATAGACCCACTCTGATAAGATGGCTTCCCTTACACAGCCCTGATCAAGATCCAACGTCTTCCTGCAACATATGATCTCAAGCAACATGATCCCATAGCTATAGACATCTACCTTTGGCATGATTGAAGAGTTTCGGAACCACTCTGGGGCGACATAACCCCTGGTTCCCCTAATATCTGTTTCTGTTCGTGTTTGATCGAGTTGTAATAGCTTTGCCATCCCAAAGTCTGCGATCTTTGGGGTGTAAAACTCATCAAGAAGTATGTTTTGTGGCTTAATATCACAATGTATGATTTGGGATTCACACACTTCATGCAGGTACATGATCCCTTTTGCTATCCCAAAAGCTAATTGGATATATTAGCCCCACTATGGTCTAGTTGAGCTAAAGAGGAAGTCAGCAAGAGAGCCATTGGGCATGAATTCATAGACGAGAAGTCCTTGATCTCCCTTATCACAGAAACCCAGTAATCGAACTAAGTTCTTGTGATGGGTTCGTCCAATCACAGTTAACTCAGTTCGGAACTCCTCTCCTCTGTCTAACAGCTTATCCAATTGCTTTACTGCAATTTCTACCCGATGGCCCAAATCCATGACCCCCTTGTAAACACTCCCAAATGATCCATGCCCCAGAAGCTCCTTGAACCCGTCTGTGGCTTCTTGTTATTGCACATATTTGAATGATATTAGATTGGTCTCTATGGTTTCTACACTCTTTGGGACCCTTAGATACCTTTCCCTTTTTGTAACAACACGAGCATTAGAGAATATACAAAGAATTGCAGTGAAGCCTGTTAGAAACCCACCTGCAATGACGAATATTTTGTCTTTTTGTTACATTTTTGTGACCTCTATGAGAACCTTCCCCCCAAGGCTGCCATCATCTCGCCCATCAATCAATGGCATCGTTCTTTTTCCAACATTGGTTATCTCCGTAAATGGCAGCATCACAGAAGCAGTCCTCCATGCAAGCTTTGATCCATTCCCCTTCATCAATTTCTAGCAGCTCATAATCCCCATTTGGCCAGTTAAGATTGTCCAACTCTATAATTGTGTACTCTGATCTTTTATAATCTATGCACCCAGTAATGAAATCTGGTTTGCAGCCACCAAATTGATAGCTATGGTTAACAAAAGAACACTTACGAGGGCATTGACACTTAGCCTTCCGATCCTGATCCACGACACAATAACCATTTACCCCACAAGCCCCAGGCACCTCACAAGGGCCAATATCACTTGGAAATCTTGAGAATGCATTCCATTTTTTACGGCCTCGATTTTTCCAGATAAAGTATTGCTGGAAAATCCCGTCACTGTCAAGTGTGGCCCTCAGGTGATAAAGTTCAGGCGAGTCAACTTCTTTGGACAAAATATTCTTCCTTAACTGATTCATCGAGTTCATGAGGTAAAGAGGTCCACTGCTATTGAAAACCAGAACATCATATGACGCTCTATTTGTTCCGCTCTTATAATATGTTGAATCAGGGTTTTGACGACCTTTAGGGTACTGAACAACATTGCCATCATCCTCCAACTCTAGCAAGAATCTACCAGGCCCATAGTCATTTTCCATTCGATTGGAATATAAAGACCGTCCTTTGCGTAATTCTTGGCCTGGTAGTAAAGTATCAGTGGGGAAATCAAAACTTTGTCATAGATTATCAGAGCTAGAGTTAAGCATGAAATTACCAGTATCAAGCATTGTTGCTGAATTTGCAGGGCGGGGGCCAGGGTGTATTGCCCACTAAATCAGTGAACCCGAGCTTGCCATCTATCATAAACTGAATCGTCCATCCATTTTGAACTGGTTCACCTCTGTGTTTCGACCAAACTAAGGTTATATCCTCAGCTAAGGAATTGGTCCGGCGCAATCGGGTAAAACCCAAATGCAAATTCACCAGAAAGAGAGACCAAACTTGAATTACTCTCAACAGAAGAGTTGAGAATGGCTTCTGGAACCATGTTTGCCTGGGGTTGAGCTAAAGAATGATGAAGGCAGAGGAGAGGAAGAAGATGAGTGAAAGAGAAGGCGCCATTGTTGCAGAAGTTATTTATGAATTGAATATTTAAAGGGTCGATGCATGAAGTTTTCGTTTCCTTTGTGATCTTCATTTCTTACTGATCGCTTTCATGAGGGCAGGGGGAAAGTGTCGAAGGACAAATACCCTGTGTTTGCATAGAATTAGAAGCGTTCGTCTCCCTATTTCCATGAGGAGAGGTCAAAGGTTTGAAATTTAAATCCGTTTTAACAAGGCTAACCTACCCAATGAATATCCAAGGAAATAGAAGTGGGCCTCTGTAGACCACAGAGAGCGAATACAGTGTAAAGGAAAAGTTGACATCTCCACCTCTAAAATCCTTCGAAAATGTTTTTTTGATGCTAGAAAAATATTTTACTGAACATTTTGACATCAAGATGTAAAGACATGGAGAAAAAGAGGGATTTCAAGTACCAAAATCTCGCAACACACTATCTAGAGTGTCCATTTTTACGTTTTTTATCCATTTATAGATCCATTTGATTTGAACTATCTTTTAAATTGAAAATTTTATAATTAAAGATAAAAATATATTCTCACACTATCCTCAAAAATTTTGACAACAAAATTGCATCACATGATCAAGTTTTGGGGTGCTGTTTAATTTTGCAACCTCAAGCAAACCACACCCCAATATAAATGAAGTGCTCTGGTTTTGTCCCTGTGCTATATATATGGGCGAGCATAGATAGAGCGAGAGGATTGGATTTACAGAGAGAAGCATAGGTGTGTAAAGAGAGCAGCATATTGTACCATTTTGGATCTAAAATTTTGGGACCCTACAAATTACCGTCTCATTGTTTTTAAGATAATTGAATTGTGGGTTCTTCACCATTTGAAAAGTCTTAGGATATTATCTTTGTTCAGACACTTTTCTTCTTTTAAAGTTAGTATATGCATGAAGAGATTACATCCTCAAAATTTATGGTTATAAAAATACTCATTTTGAAGTCCCAAATAACCTGCTGACCTTCAAACATTCATATTTAAGATGGATGTGTAAAAAATGCACAGACCAAAAACATACATGTTAAATTTTATTTTATTTAATATTAATAATCACCTCGGCCTTGATCATGAATCACTAAAAATTTAGATAAAAAATCCATCTTTAACATAGATTTTAGAGGTAAGACTGAACACACATGTGCGGATGAGTCAACTAACTTACGGAAACTCTGCCAAGTATATATGGCATGAACGAGTGGCGCACAGCAGTGGTGTACGGAACGCCACACACTATATTCAATGGATAGGCGTGTAGGTAAGATAACCAAAACCACACGAATATAATATTTGGTAACTACAGTGAATCTTTGCCATCAATCCACATAACAGATGGCCGAGGTGTTCCCATCAATCCACATAACAGATGGCAGAGTTGCTCTAGTGGTGTGACATGTACCCATCAATCCACATAACAGACGGCCGAGGTGATCTGGTGTTGTGACATGTACCATACACCACTGGTGTATGAAATACTCTTCCCAATTTTGTAGGATCAACTGACTAGTAAATAGTTTAGATTGTTGATTGACTACAGAAAAAGTTTATCCAAGGATGCTACCATATAACTTAGAACTACGGATGTCCCTAAAAAAATTCATTGGAAAAGGTAGTTTTAATGTTGAAAAACCTTTTGATTGATCATCTCGACATCGAGAAATAAAAAGATTTTAAGTCTCATAAATATTATTGCATTTTACAACATATTATCTACACCGTCCATTTTCAAAATTTTCATATGTTTATAGATCTACTTTAGTTTAACCATTTTTTAAATTTAAAATTTTATAATTAGATATAAAAATAGATTTTGAGATAATCCTAATAACATTTTACATCAAAATTATATACCATCATAAAATTTGAAGGGCACCGCACCTCTACACCAACGAAGGTGTCCGTATGCCAACTGCACCCTTATAAAAATTGTGATTGCATAAGATTTACCATTCATACATAAAGATCCTAAACGCCTCAAGCTGTCTGATGTAAAATCGAATGGATGGGGTGTGCCAGTTCTACACAAAATGTAAGAGGAAAATCTTTTAGAACTTATGAACACATTCAATGGCGCAAACCCAGCTCCCCTATTTCACATCAGAGAATTACCGTTGATTATGAACTTTTGTACTAAAGGTAAACAGCCTTACTGCGTGCTTCTCTGAAGGGGTAAAAAGAAAATGAAGGATATGCAAACAAACTGGGTGTAAAAACTCACACTGTTTTTATTGCTATGAATCATGATAAAACTTTCACATACATAAATTAGAAAGTTCAATGCAGTAATAATTACAAAATGACAGACCGGCCATGCTTTGTCAATCAGAGTACAAATTTTCATTTGATGCAACCGGATGATCAAGATTGATCGACACACATTTGCTTCTTGGAAATCTGGAGCATCCATTCTAATCTTGATCGGCTTCAAAAGCATGGTATAGTCCTGACTACTCAGCTCAATTTCATCGTTCAGTCATTCCAACGAAACATCTTACCAGTGGCCAAAAATGCCCTCCATAATTTCTCGTACTCTTTTCTGAATAATTTATCCTTCCATCTAAGGAACCCATCTGCTTAATTTTGACTCTGAAGCTATTCTAGAAGATTTGTAATGAAAATCAATGGCAAAATAAAGGGGTCAAGCGACAGTAAACTCCCATAACTGTGAGTTGCCGATCCAATAGGCAATGAAGCTAACCTAGAAATTTTACCAACTGTAAACAGAAATACATGAACAGTGTCACCAACTGATGACCCAAGGAGATCTACTTCTTGTGAGTTTGTCCCTTAATTTTTTTCTCGCTTTTCTGTGTGGGTAAGCTAGTTTTTCTTGTTTTTTCTTTGGTAAAACTGGGATAAAACCTTGGAAATTTATTTGCAGCTTTCGAGTCCTACCAATAAACCAAGGAGCCGAACCCCAAAAGAAAGAAAAGGAAAAGGAAAAATAGATCGGGAAGGCTTAGTGTAGAGAGACGGAGATGAAGCTAAGATTTTTTACTGAAAGATGCTACTCACAGAGGAGTCATCATGAACACGCCATATGGTCTCACCAAGGAGGTTTGCAACAGATAGAACAGTTAGTTGAGGGAAATAGTTTTTCTCTGCTAAGGGGATCGTATTAGTGACAATCACTTCCTGAAAGAGGCCTCCAGACAGCCTCTCAATCGCCGGTGGACTGCAGAGTTCAAAGTTCAAAGTTTGGTGGTTAAAGCATTATCAAAAAAATAATTATAACGATGATGAAGACTATAATGACTGTTATTCATTTTCTTGGAGGATAACGATGATGACAATAATTAGACTTGAGGAGAGACGAGCATATGATGAGAGTGAGGGAGGGAATACCTGAAAACAGCGTGAGTGCAACATGCATAGACTTCTCTAGCCCCCTCTTGGTGCAACAAAGATGCAGCACTGGTAATCGTGCCTAATTCACCACATACACACCACAATTTAATTTCACTCCTAGTTAGAATGCATCTCTCTCTCTCTCTCTCTCTCTCTCTCTCTCTCTCTCTCTGAGCAAACTCACCTGCAGTGTCAATCATGTCATCCACCATGACAGCAACCTTCCCTTTGACATCACCAATCAAATTCATGACCTGAGTGATAAATGTAGAACAAAGATCGTGTGAGGAATTGGATGCTAAATGACTTAATCGTTAGTGTACGTGGCAAGTCATAGAGATGATGAACTGAACATATAGTTCATACCACTTATACAAAAACAAACAATTCATACCCAAAGAATGTCTCTAAGACATGCAATCCAACCAGAAACAGGAACAAAAGTGTTGCTTATCAAAAAGAAAGAAAGAATGAATGAAAAAGAAAGAAAGAAGGAAAAGAAAGAGGAAAACGAAATAAAGTTTCCACTTGCCTTAGCATGTATAAAGGTCGTTGATTACAAAGTTATTTTATGCATGAACATTGACACTGACAAATTGTAACATTGGCATCCTTTAAAATAGTCATTTATACCTCAGCCATGTTATGTCCCGGACGCCTTTTATCCACAATGGCCAAAGGAGCATCAGACAACTTTTTAGCAAAAGCACGTGCTCGAGCAACACCCCCAACATCAGGTGAAACAACTACCAAGTCATCTGAGGAAATCATCTTACTTGCCAGGTAATCTAAAATTACAGGCTGAAACACCGCAGAAAAAGGCAAATCAATATATAGCTTCTATCATTCAAATAAATTTGAGAATATACATCATCCATATGACATTCGTGGCAAACCCACCTGTCCATAGACATGATCAACTGGTATATCGAAGTATCCCATTGACTGTCCAGAATGAAGATCACAAGCAAGGACACGATTAGCACCAGCTTCTGTTATCAAGTTTGCAACAAGTTTTGCGGCAATAGACTCGCGCCCCTGAGTCTGAAAATGGAAATAGTAAAAGGGACATGATGTTAAGCACATCTTCAACAAAAAATTGGCAATATGAGAAGACAGAATCTCTATACTATGGGACAGAAGAAGCCTCAAAGAAAGGAAAGATAAGGAAACAAGAGTTGCAGACAAGCAAATGAAGTTTGACATGGCATGTGCAATAATTTCATTTTAGTGATTGTTTTAATAATTAATGCTTCCTTTGACAACTTTAGTGTTATGCTAAAAACGAAAGAGGCGCATTGTAATACCTTTCTATCGGCTCTGGCATATCCAAAATATGGAATAACTGCCGTAATATTTTTTGCAGATGCCCTTCGACAAGCATCAATCATAACCAAAAGTTCCATAAGATTCTCATTCGCTGGAGGGCAGGTTGGTTGCACCAGAAAGACATCACAGCCCCTCACACTCTCTTGCAACTGGACATAAATCTCACCATCGCAAAACCTCTTGATTTTTATTTTCCCAAGGTCTAGACCCATGTAGCATGCTATTTCCTAGATGCAATGCAAAACAAATATCATAATCATCATCATTTTAGCCTTTTCCCAATTAATTGGGGCCGGCCAATGCAAAACAAATATAAAGCCACTAATTGGATTAAACAATAAGCATAATAGAGTATAAAACTTCAGAAGATAGCAAGAGAAACCAACATAAGATTTTCAAATATGTAACACCATAGGACTTCAAATACTCCATGCTAACCCATGATGGAGCTAAAAAAGGGTAAAAAAGCACAAAAATGGTACATACAACTTATAAAAACAATTGTCGGTCTGAACTTGTATGGGATCCTTCTATCAGATACGCAGGGTCCCATAGATATGAAAATATATTCTAAAACGACAAAAGAATTCTAGTAGTAACAAACCCTCTAGAAGATGTAACAAAGATGAATGTCCTTAAAATTTATTGTAAAGGCTTTGGCAGATTCCAACACACTCCTCAAAAAGAAACAATCGCAAATACACTAAGTGTCTTTAGTGGAAAGTTGAAATAGAGCATTTTAAACATCTCTCAGGTCTGGATGTATATAAAGGCTCATGTAGGGAGGAGACCCCAACTTGAATCAAGTAGAAATAGATGCAGTAACTGAAACTAGCAAAGAAAAAATAATGCCAATACAAAATCAATCTATCCCATCACATTTCTTGCATCTATCCTCAACAGTCATCACCAGAGATTTGTTCATTACTAGAAGATTTTGAATTTGGTTGATTACAGGAAGCAAGTCATCGTTATCACTGATGCATATAAATGATACATGATTAAAGAAATAGTAATAAAAAAGGGTATAATCACACCACAAATGGACTAAACTAAGCACTGCTGCAAACTAGATCGCACATGCCTGTCCAGATGAAGTTTCTTTATCCTATATGAATAAGATAGAAACTGTTAGCGCCAACTATAAACGACTGTAAAAGAGAATCACAAATAAAATCATATTGTATCCAAGTTTCGCAGCAAGTGTTTTTTCTTTTTTCCTGGTAAGCAATATAGATACAATGGACATAAGTTTAGGCCTATCCATGTTCGTCATGCAAAGATTATATAGAATCTTCCTTTTTCATACAAATATATAAGGAGAATCTTATTGTAGAAGTGAACAATGGTAAAACTAATACAAAGAATCTTATTGTAGAAGTAAACAGTGGTAAAACTAATACAAATCATAAAGTCATAGACACCCCAAAAAATAAAATGCATCAATCAACCACTGCACCATGCAGCCACAAACCATCCAACAAAAAATTGGAAGTTGAAAAAAATAGAGAGAGAGAATAAAACTTACTTAGGAGATGCTGCTTAACAAGAATTTAGCCTTAACTATAATATGACATTTGCATTCTTGAAATGACAATCATCTTAAGTTCTATACTCAACATTTTCGCGGTCACTTCCATATTCTTTTTTCTATTTGTTGAATGGGTAACACGACCATATTCTAAAGTACGAAGAAAAACTAACGGATGAAAGACAAACCTGTGATAGTGAAGGATTTGCAGTGCCCGAGAATATACGAAGGCGTGTATCACACTTTTGGACCATGTCCTGATAATGCCTATTAACTAACAGGTCCGGTATGTCCTGATCTTTATACACCGGTATGCATGGTCTTCCATTCGAAAACTGCAGAGAATTGGCCAACTGGTACCTCTGGGGAAACACAAAGTGCAGAAAATTAAGAAAAAGGAGATTCTTTCCCAGGCTCAGTAACAAATTCTCAAACTGTTAAATGAATTTGAAATATAAGTTTGTGTGTATGAGCAACCAAGAGCTTATAAAATTCTATTGTGTAATTACAAACTAAACACAAATAAAAATTCAAAGCATAATCGGTAAAAGGGTATAGAATTCGTAACTACACCAAATGGTTAGCTACCTAATGAAAAAATAAAGCAGAAAAAAGAAAAGAAAAATGCATGCGCTATGAAGTATTAAACACAAAATTCACCCAGAAAGGACTGACAGATTTATCGCGAGCAATCTTAACCGGTGCCCCTATGGATTATTTCACTGATATAGTTCAGCTAACATATGACATGCTTACTTAGAGAAATTATTCTAAAATAAATTACCCAAAAAAAATTTATTCTAAAATAGACAATTATTTCAAGAAATTAGACATCATGGAGAATAAGAATAAGTGGAAGAATATAAGCAAATGAGATACGGAAACAAGACTTAAAGAACAATCTTAGGGTGAATCCCGATAGAAACCAATCCCAATCCATTTTCCTCCATTAACTTCTTCTTCCTGAGAAGAAATAGAGAGTCCCCAAAGCCCAATACTAAGAAATCATAAGCTCATATTCATACTACTACAAGTCCAATTTTGAATATGGACTGAGGTTTTTTCTGAGGCGATAAATCCCATCTTCTCGAGTTGCCTCTCTCACTTCCATGTGATTCATAGCCCCACATAGTGAAGTGGATCAACGACAATACTTACCACAATGAAGCAAAAGACACCAAGAGAGTAGTTTTGCATCAGGATTTTGTTATTAGAAGCTTCAAATTTTGAAGCCTGCATTTGTTTATACAACCATACAAGAACTTCAGCAAATTGGGTTCATCACCTTGTATTCGCATAGGGGGGGCAAAATGTGAAACTATTCTATTTCGCAGAAATACGAACTAAACGCTCTATGGCCTCCATAATGCAAGCTTTTGAATTAAATTTGAAGAACTAAAAAAAATTTAAATACAATGCTCGATGTATTGAGTGCTGATACTGATGGCTCCAAACTATTCTATTGTTCTGTTCCTTTCAAAAAGATCAGTGTGTACAATTCTACCGAGAAAGAAGAAGGCTAACCAGCTAGCTATATGCACATTCACCGACTTCTATATGACCAATCTAAAACCAAAAATAACTTCGAATGGATCAAATTCAAATACAAAACGAGGAATAAATAAATAAATAAAAACATAAAAAGGCTTTTCTACATAGGTAAATATTAACCACCATAATCATCACCACCACCACCACTACCACCACCAATGTCATCATCATCATCATCATCATCATCCGAGTTTTATCCCGATTATTTGAGATTAGCAACACAAATCATGTTATGCCACTCTGCTTTATCTAGGACAAATATCCTCGACCATAAAGTCATCATATCTCTTCTCACTACCAGTCCTTTTCACCATTCCATCCATGTCTTTTTTGGCCCTCCCCATGCTCTTTTAGAACCTTCCACTTAAACAAATCGCCATTCCTAACAAATGCTGTATTACGCCCTTTTGGCCCTCCATCCCCTTTCAGAACCTTCCACTTAAACCAATTCTCAATTCTTTATCAGTGCTTGATTAGGATTAAGTTGTACATGGCCTTCTATTTTCCCTCATCTTATCGCCTATTCGAACTAACCTAACTTTCCTCGCATGTATTCCTTCCAAATTCCATCCTTTCTTTTCTTGCAGGTAAACTATAAAAAATACTAGTTTGTTTTGTTTCCAGAGGCTCGAAAAATTCGGCAATCAATCTAATGGCGTAAGCAAAACAACGAAACCATAAGAGACAGAACAATTACTTATAAAACAATAAAAAATACAAAACAAAAAAAAGTAAAGAGATAGAATCAATTCATATCAATAACAACAAGAAGAAACAAATAAACTAAAAGAAATTCACAAAAACGTGTCAAAAAAACCAGGAAAAAAAAAAAACACATATGGAACAAAAACAAAAGCCTCACCACAGGAGCACATCGACAAGCGGTTTTGCAAGCTCCCAGACTCTCCGAGTTCCTGGTGAGGAATAAAGAATGCGGAGCAGAGAAGGAAGCAACCGCCATTACAACTGTTCAATAAAGCTGTTCAGGGGAGGGGGAGAGGCAGAGAGGCACTGTTAAAAAGGAAAGAAAGGCCTTCTTCCGCAATTTATAGGGTTAGGACTTCCTATAAACAGCTGTTAAGAAAAGGGAGGGAAGCTTTGGGAGCGACAGAGAGAGAGCAGAGGCCTTTGTGGAACTACGGTTAGATGCGGTCCCATATGTGTAAAACCTGCATTTAATGGGGGCAAATGGTAAGGCCACCCACATTTTTAGTATTACGCCTATTTTAAATTAGAAAAAAGTTTATATAAGGTTGCAACTTTATAATCTAGAGTTACATATGCAACTCTAAAATTCATGAGAAATTTTTTTTTTATATTAGAAAACCTTCCAATTGGTCATCGAGACGTATGAATATAAGACAAAAAAAAAAGATTTCCAATTCTAGAGTAGTGCATTTTACAACACATTATCTAGACCATCCACTTTCAAGATTTTCATATATTTATAGATTTCCTTGATTTTAACCATTTTTAGAGTTGAAATCTTATAATTAGATATAAAAAAAGATTTTAATATAATCCTAAGACTTTTTTACACCAAACTTAAATGTTATGATAAAATTTGGAGGTATATCTTAATTGATTGTTTAATATTGCAATCTCTTTAAATTATAACACTCAAAACAATTGTAACTAACGGCCCAAATGTTTTTTAATATAATTATCATTTTTAATTTTAAAATGTTATTTTATTTTTCATATTCATGATCTCCATGTTAAAGATTATATGTTCTCTAAAAATTAAAATCAAGTTATATTTAAAATATATATTTATTGCCAAGCCCTCATTTCTACTTGCGTGAGCTTAGCTAATTTTTAATAATGGGAAAAGTTTATATTAGGTTGCAACCTTAAAGTGTAGAATTATAAATGCACCTCAAAAATATATCGAAAATGTTGTTTAAATGTTGAAAACCCTCTAATTGATCATCTTGATGTTAAGATATATGAATATGAAAAAAAAAAAAAAAAAAATTTGAATCCCAAAAATATCTAAATCTTTTATTTTCAATATTTCATACGTCTATAGATCTACTTGATTTTAACCATTTGGAGTTAAAAATTTTCTAATTAGATATGAAAATAGATTTTATGATAATTCTAGTAATTTTTTAAAATAAAATTATAAATTATGATAAAATTTGAAGGTGCGGTTTAATTGGATTGTTTAAAGATGCAACCTTATATAAAACCGCACCCTTTAATAATTTACTCATTTTCAACTATTCCAATTTCCCAAGGCATACTCATATTTATATTATTGACTAAAAATACCCCAAAAAGCAAATTTGAATACCGGAAGCACCCCTCATCTTCTTTCGTGGTCACTTTTCGAACAGTGGGGCCGGTATTGGAAAGTGCATAGCCATCGGTTTGGGAAGGCCAATTTTTTTTTTCTTTCTGACGATTATGTGCTAGAGAATAAGGGTCAATTTCGAGAAAGCTTTTTCATTGTTTTTATTTTATTTTATTTAAAAAAAATTGTTTCATATGGGTTGGATCACATTTCTACAATAGGCTGTTCCAAAGTATAAAGCATTTATTTTAAAAATGGATGTAAATAGGTGGTCCATCTAAAAACAATTGAAATTAACAGTGCAAATGTTTTCTTCATAGAATCATTATTTTTATTTTTAAATTTTTTTTTTCTTCATAGAATCATTATTTTTATTTAGTAAAAATTATTTATGTTTTTATATTCATGATCTTCACGTTAGAGATTACATGTCCTTAAAATTTGGGTTCGAAAATTCATCTCAAAAATAGATTTTGAAAAGTCAACTCATTTCTACATGGATTCATAGAAATCGTGTCTTTTTATTTAATTATGTATAGTTTTTTAGATGCCGATTCAAACCAATCTAGACATGATCTGACTTACTGATCTAAAAATCTAATACAGATCAGTGGGTGAACGATCTATCGACCCAATCCATATACATAGTGATATTTTTCTTACGCTAAGATAGTCGGTTTGGCTAAACCATATGAAAGCTACCGCATAGTGGTACCATAAGATGAGTTTGGTCGGTGTGACCTAACCCTCTCTTTACACAACGTGACACAAATGAAAGGCACTTTCTATACTTATAGGACAAGTCGTCTCTCTCTCATGACTTACTATTGTGGGATGCAAAGAGGCTATCTCCAATTTCTCTTCAATCTCTTTGGTATCTTTGACTTTTTATTACACATTTTCCTCATTTGGTACTCTCTCTCTCTCTTTAAAATTCTTAGTGAGGGACACATGGATTTGCATCACAAATATAGGTACTAAATGCTTCCCCATGCCCATCAAACCTCGCCAAATTTTGCAGACCGGTGTCTTTATTCTTGGAAGGTTTTAATATTTATTGTTATTTGGATACGGTTGATTAGAAAGCTGTATTTTTAAAACGGTTAAACATGGGATAAGTCATCATCATCCTTAAAGCTTTTTTTTTCTAATTAATTGGAATCGGCTAAGTATGAGAATTAATATGCTATAAAAAGTAAATAAACGTGTATTGATAGATTTTAGAGGATAATACTAAAGTGATAAATGAATAAAAACTTAAGAAAATTAAAGATGAGCGAAGCTAAATAACATCAAAGGCAAAGGGTATTTTGGCAATTATCAACCATAGTATGCTGTGTTATCCTTGGAAAGGGTAAGATAAACATGACTATTATATAATTAGACTGTTCTATATTGATTCTTGAATATACTATTTAGGCATGACATCCTATGTTCTTTGTGGAGCATGGTGTATTTCTACTCTCTCGGTTGGAAGACCTATTTGGTTGTATTTTTCCAATATGATATTTTCAAAACCATTTAAGGATTACTGGATGATTATTCTTAAAAAAAATTGAAATTTGAGTTTTCTAACACTTGGATCTCACCTTCTAGAAATTGGATGGTCTTTATTTAATCTCGAGACATTGTTTCTTTCAATTACATAGAGGTTACAAGAAGGAATTATTTTTTGTTGAAGTTAATCTGCCGTAAAAATACATTTTTCAAAAGGAAATTTATACAATAGGACTACTTAATTATGGCATAAGAACATTACAATCATTATCAAGTGTTAGATGTAAAATTAAAGGGTTAGAAATATGTGATTACAAAGCTCAAAATAAATTCTCGAATTTTATGACACATTTTTAAGTCGTCAAATTTCACATCCTAGGCTGCCTAAAGATGATTGTCAAATTTCACATCCTAGACTGCCTAAAGTTGATTGTCACCACTCTATAATAAAGTGAGTGATTCTACCACTGACGATCCCTTCCAAAAATAAAAAGTTTTCCCTAAAGGGTGAGATTTGTATGAGGTATCAACCTTAAACATTTTTAGTAAGGTGCACCGCAAAATCTCATTAAAAGACGCAGTTTTTGTATCGAAATACTTATCATGGCCTAAAAGTCTATTTTTTACCCCCAATATGAAATTGAAAGCTCTGAAAATGGCACAAATCTATCAGATCTATGAATACTCGAAAATCTTGAAAATGGACGGTAATATGTTACAAGATATAATATTTTTAGGACTTGAAATTTATTTTTTCTTTCATATCCATTTATATCGAGGTCAAGATAATCAATTGGAGAATTTTCTAGTGACAAAACAACTTTTTTCGATAGATTTTTGAGGTGCACCTTACATCTAAAGTATAAGGGGGTTGGCACCTTATATAAACTTTTTCCTTTCCTAAATGGTGTGGTTTGTATAGAGTCGAGGCTCTAAGCAATAGTAAAGTGCACCTTCAAACAATATCGATAGATATTGTTTCAATACTGAAAGTCTTTATGATGACCTGAAATTTTATTTTTATCTCTAATTATAAAATTTAAAACTTCAAAAAAAATGTAGATCAAGCATATCCATTTTTTCTCCTGTGTACATATTGAGGTCGAGATGATCAATTTAAGTATTTTTGGGCCTCAAAACAACCTCTTTTAGTGAATTTTTTAGTTATGGTCTAAATTGATTGTTTAGAGCCTCAGATTTATATAAATTTTTTTTTTTCCTAAAACATGATATTTTGGGCGGCCATAAGGACATATAGTGAAACCATTAGTCCAAGTTGACCATCTGGACTTGTGGCCAAAACAGCTAGTGAGGGTGTGTTTGTGTGGCATAAAATTTTCTCATATCACTATTTCTTAACATTAAGATCAATTGAGAAAAGAATTAAGCTCAAAATTACGCAAATTAAATTGTGAAAAGATTTGCCCCTCCCATATGAGCATATTGTGCATTTACTCCCTTGAGTTAAAACTCATTTTAAAAATATTTTACCAAATTTTGGAGATGTAGAACCTAATAACCAACCTCAAAGAAAAAATGAAAATAAGACTCTCTATGGGCCGAAAAAATTAATGTCCAACGATTAAACAAGAACTCTTTAATTCTTGAAGGACAATATCAGGTGTTCAAGGACTTAAAATCCGATTATTCTTCTTAAGACTACTCTCATTTGATGATACTTGGATCCCAAAATCTTGCATCAAGAAAAAATCCTCGGAAGTTACTATTTTGCCGATGGAGTTGTTTGGCATTGTATACAAATATGCACTCTCTTTAGGCTTTGAGAGGATTTGATTCAGACCACCAGATCATTTTTCGAATTCATCTTATGGTTTTATATATAGGATTCGAGAGTTTTTTTAGTCCATTAAACACTCCGGGTTTGACTTAGTGGCCCACGTGAATGGTTTAGGCCTCTCGGGCTAGTGAACCTCTTGGCCTGTGTGCCAAATGATCGAGATGAAATTTACAAAATTTTATTGTTCAAGGGCACTTGAGACGCACTCGCATCGTCACATTTAACATAGTGAGTCGGCGCCATCTTTCAAGGTGCATAGGATGACCGACAAGAAAGTGTGCGAGAGTTAATTCTAGCCGTTGGACGCAAGACAGTTTAGACAGTTGATGCCGTTAGTTATTGTTGCGTGAAGTGATTGTTCGGTGTTTGAACCGATAGCATTTTGGGGATTTGGTATCAATTAACCATTTAAATGAATAGTAAGAAAACTATTAAAAAGTCACAACTTCTGATGTCGTGCCTCTTCTGACTATAAATTAGGGTTTATTTTTTAGTATAAATGCATTCTTTCTTACACCCATTTCATTTGTCTCTCTCTTACTCTCT